CAGAGTAAGACTCCATCTCAAAAAAAAAAAAAAAAAAAAAAAAAGAGTTAATAACCTCCATAGAAACCACAAAATGTGATTCATGAAATTTAACTCATTGCATGTTAGTATTATGAAAGATAAAATACAGAATGTTCTAAAAAATAACATGCAGTTAAACATCATTTTAGCATGTCTCTCTATTATAAGCTAGGGGAATAATTTATACTTTTAAAAAGAGATATCATCTCATTGAATGGTCAAGAATGTCAGAATCTGAGATTTAACAATTTGGTAAGATGAGGAAGAAAGAAGAAATCAGATACTGGATAACACGAAAATTTACAGGTTAAGATAAATATCTTCTTATTTGAAAATGGAATATACTTAATTTATAGAATGTTATATATTAGCTTCTATCTATGGAACCCATATTTAAACAGGAGGACTAATTAAGAGTGCAAGTAAGAATAAATTAGGACATACAGACATGAACTAGGGTATAAAACAGACATTAATACAGGGGAACTGATTTTTAGGCTTCTAAAGGTCTCCATAGGTTAAAACTGTGAACTAAAATCAAGAAAAATAAACTTAGTACCTACCCCAAGGAACCATAAAAACAAAGAAATTACATTCAGAATAGAATGAGGAGACCAAGTTCAAGAAGTTCATGTGAGAGGAACCTAGGATTTCACTAGACCACAAATAAAACATGAGACAGCTGTATTAAAAAGGAAAGAAGACAAAACCAAGTGTACAAATAAATAGCTATACAATGCCATTTCAGGCCAGTAGAAGTTGAGTGTCCAGTTTTAGGTAATAATAATTTTCACTTTATTCTGAGTCGGCCAAACCACATCTGCAGCACAATGGCCAGCTCTAAATGCCAAATTTTGAGAAGAGCACTGGTTAAGTGGAATGCTTCCTGATGAGGAAAAACAAAATAGTAAAGCATGGGGGAAAGTACAAAGACAGTGATGGTGCCTGCTTGAAGAAATGCAGACTAAAGGAAGGCTTGGTAGATATCTTTAAATTTGCAGTCTGTTTACAGAAGAAGGAATAGGTACACAAAGGAATAGGTATATTTTCAGGTATGCTGAAATGTAAGTAGGTGAAATAATCTTGTATATAAACATTCAAAATTGCAGGGCATGGAAATTTAGCTAACCTTCTGCCACAGAAGAAGGAATCCACGATGTCTTATCAACCAAGGAATTCAGATTTTGTATGGATCTCAAATTAGAACATTGTTTACATCTGAAATTTATAAAAGAAAAAACCATATAAATATTTTAAAATGATTTAGCTTGTTATAGCTATTTACAGCTCAAATATGTGTAGTTTTAAAATATAAATTATTAAATAGAAGAGTATTGCATCCCCTATATTGTAATGTGCTTGCTTGTTTCAGAAAAGAATTATGAAAGAGTAAGTTTAATACATAAAGGCAATAAAAAGACAGTGTAAGATTCAGAATAAACAACTATAAATTGAGAATAGGGTGCTGGGTTCCAGGTCCAAATCATTAATTAATTTTGCTCTCAATTTCCTTATTTGTTAAAATGAAAAGTTGAAAAAAACGCTCATTTCTATTCTTTGATTCTATAAGCAATATCTTTCTTTTTTTTTTTTTTTCTCTTTTTTTTTGAGACAGGGTCTCACTCTATCACCCAGGCTGGAGTGGTGCAGTGGCACAATCTTGAGTCTCTGCCTCCCAGGCTCAAGTGAGCCTCCCCCTTCAGCCTCCCAAGTAGCTGGAACCACAGTTGTGCCTAGCTAATTTTTATAATTTTGTAGAGACAAGGTCTTGCCACAATGCCCAGGCTGGTCTCAAACTCCTGAGCTCAAGCCATCTGTCCACCTTGGCCTTCCAAAGTACTGGAGTTACAGGCATGAGTCAACATGCCTGGCCGCTGTAAGTAATATCTTAATAAATTCAAAGTCTTAATAAATATGACCAATAGAGAAAAATTACTAAAGCAGTTAGAACATACAAGATTCTAGATAATATTTTTAGTAAGCATATATCCAGAGGTTTGTATTTTATGATGTCTAATATCATAGCTATCTTTTGAAATGTATATAAATTGAAGACTATACAATATACTAAAGTCGTGCATTATTTAGTATAGGGATTTTGCTTTACTTGATACTAACATATTTTAAGTATGAGTAATATATTTTTTATTACGCATCATCATAATGTTTATGAGATGTTGATAAGAAAATATACTTGAAAAGATATACTTGAATAAAAATAAAAGTTGAAAAGGTCCATACACATTTGTTTTCATTTGCATTTTGGGAAAACAAGAGGGTAACCAGATTACATCTTATCATCTTTTCTAATAAAAGATGTCAATTTAAGGAAAAAATATTATTGCCTAAGAAAAAGACTATGATGTTAATTAGCATTAGAAATTAATAAAGCAAGTATAGTATAAAAATTAAAAATTAAGGATAGTAAGTCAAAATTAAATAGAGAACTACTTACTTCCAAAAGCAGTAAAAGGGGAAACAGAAAAAATCAGGAACATAAACTAAATATATCAATAATTTAAGAATATATTTTAAACTCAACTATTAAAACTAAAATTTAGCCATAAACTTCTATTTATGAGTGACATATGAAATAGAATGCCAGAAACTTGAAAGCAAATGGATGACAATAAGCTATAAAGCAATTACCTAACAAAAATTTTTAAAAAGCTTATAAAACACAAGAAACCTTATAAAGTTAAAAAGGCATCCATACTAGAAGTATGGATGAATCTGACAAGAGATTAGTATCTCTAAAGAAACCTTACAACCAATTACATGTATGCTTGCTCAAAAACAAACCAAGAAAGAAATCACTGACCTCACAGAAAAAGAGGCAAAAGATGTGAACATGGAATTCACACAGTAAGAAACCTATGTAGCTAATAAACATGGGGCTGCTTAAACACACTAGACATCTAGGAAATACAAACAAAAACATCACTGATAGCATCTGATGCTCACTGGCCTAACAAAAGCACAAGTTACAGTAATACCAAGTATAAGACAGAAATAGATTAACACTAAGTGTTGGAGTGAACTTGGTGGAAACTAAAATTTTTATACATTACTGATGGGACCATAAATTGTTAGAACCATGGGAAGAACAATTGGGTATTTTTCTCATAAAGCAAAACTTATGTATACCTTATAATCCAGTAATTCTAATTCCAGGTAAACACCTTAGTAGTAACTTTCAAACATTTTTGTTAAGGGCTCGCAGTAAGAAATTCATTTAATAACATATCTTAGTAATACAAACATACACACACAACTGAAATGAAAGTGTTATGGAACAACACTGACCCTTACTATGTAAAATGTTCTCTATTATCCATTCCCTCTCATTCTATTTCTTACTACAACCACATCATATGATTAAAAAAAAAGTTGGTCATGACCCACTGAACTCATTTTATGAGAAGGGAAATACACAAGAAACATAAAATGTGACTTCATTCAGTACTCTCTATAAATGAAACAAAAAATAACACATATCCACCATTAACTGGTAAATAGCCAAAAAATTCTGATATTTCATAAAATACTCCACAGACATTAAAATAAATAACCTAAATGTACATGCATCAATATGGGTAAATCTTGAATATAATAATAATGAATGTAAAAAAGCAAGCTGCAAAAGGGTTGGTATAATACGAAACAGTTTATATAAATTTACAAAACAAAAAACATGCTATACTGCTTAAGAGTTCACACATATATTATAATGAAGGCATAAAAACATTGATGAGAAGGATTTAATCCAAGCTGGGAAAAGTAGCTGTCTCTGAGAAAAAAGTGTTAGAGAAGGGATTGGTATGGAGTTACATTACTTCTCCGAAACATTTAATTTCTTAAAAGGAAAAGTCTGGAGGCTGAGGCAGGCGGATTGCTTGAACTCCGGAGTTCAAGACAGCCTGGGCAACATGGCAAAACCACATCTTTACAAAAAATACAAAAATTAGACAGGTGTGGTGGTGGTGTGCACCTGTAGTCCCAGCTAGTTAGGAGGCTGAGGTGGGAGGACTGCTTGAGCCCAGGAGATCAAGGCTACAGTGAGCTGAAATCATGCCACTGCAGCCTGGGTGTCAGAGTGAGACCGACTCCAAAAAAAAAAAAAAAAAGCGGTGAGGAGGATCTGGAATAATGATAAAATGTTAACATTTGTTAAATCTAAATGGTGGTTATGTAATTGTTGTGATGTTACTTTTCATATTTTTCTGTAAATTAAAATTATTTCATAACCTAAAAATAAAAAGAAGAATCAATTAAAAGATATACTGGCTTTTGATGATGAAGCTCAAGTAATAAAAAATGTAAAAGTGTCTTAAAATATGGAGTGTGAACAGCATTTGTTTTAGTTTTGAAGCAACTAGTAAAAAAAAAGTCCAGAGCTTTGGTCAGGCATGGTAGTTCACGCCTATAATTCCAGCACTTTGGGAGGCCAAGGCGGGTGGATCACTTGAGGTCAGGAGGTCGAGACCAGCTAGGCCAACATGATGAAACCATGTCTCTACTGAAAATGCAAAAAAAACATCAGCTGGGCATTTGGTGTGTGCCTATAGTCCCAGCTACTTGAGAGGCTGAGACAGGAGAATTGCTTGAACCCGGGTGGCAGAGGCCGCAGTGAGCCACAATCATGCCACTGTACTCCGGCCTGAGCAATAGAGCAATATTCCATCACAAAGAAAAAAAAAGTCGAGAGCCTTAAGGTAATTTTATTGAGACTTCTAGTACATGAAGAAGTTATATTACAGAGTTTAAAATGAGTATTTCTTTTCCTGGTTTAGACTTGTCATGGTGCCCAATACTGGGAAGGCAAAATAGGGAGAAGGGAGAAAGAGCAAGAGCAAGTGATCGAGGATGAGCATGCAGAAAGAAAAAGCTCAATTAGTGACTTACTATACAAGAAAAATAGAATTTTATGAGTGTTTATTTTTTAATTATTTTAATTAAAAATTTTATTTTCAAAAAAACTGACTCTCAGATCACGAGTTTAATGAGAGAGATCATTAGACACTGAGCAATAAGAGTAAAAACAGCTATAACCCAGGGATTTAAGTCAGTGGCACACAGTTTCGCTTTATGGCTAAAATTCTAGGATTTGTTGACAGAACACAGACAATGCCTAACAATGACTTTACCATACAATTAAGGAGGTATCATAGTTACAGTATAATATTTTTGAATGAGTATATAATTTTTTAATCAGAATTTACAAATTATGACAATGACTAATAATTGCTACAAATTTAGAAGTTGGAAAAGAGGAATAGTATGACAAAACATATATTATAATCCAAGGTTTCTCAAATCCGAACATGCCCAGGGTGATTGTTTCATCAAGCAATAGAGGAGATTTTATCCCTATCCCCTCCTTCTAAATTTAGAAATCTGTTTTTTAGCTTCTAATGTATTCTTTTATATTCCAATTTTCAGTGGCAGCAAATTTGTAATTTAGTGGCTCGGAGATTCTGAAATTCAGTCACTTAATTTTCACTAGGTTTGCAGCTCTGATTTTTTTCTCTGTAACTGGTATATAAATCCTCACTGTGAAAGAAAACAAGTGAGTACCAGCCTCTGACTGTGGAATAAAAAGAAGGCAGCTCTATGCCTCACACATTGTGTGTACTCTCTCTATATGCTTATCAAAAGAACAGATATATGTCAGAAAAAGCTAGTACATCTAAGTTGATACACTAAAAGTTTCTGTTGAACATATAGTAACCAATGAAATAAACTAATAAAATTTACTCTTAAACGGTTTTCAATTCCAAAAATTTTCTGAGTTGAAAACATACCCATAGTGATGTACTGTTCCTTGTATAAAAAATGGTGCTGAAAGGTCCAAGAGTTCCAGGTCTTCGTAGCCAGATCTCACAGGAATTACACTATTAAACTTGTTTGAGAGTTTGCAAATTTCACTGAGTGTACCTCCTGTTAAGAGAATAAACCCTTCCGGTAGTGCAAATGAAAGGTAGAAAAAGCACAGTCCTATTAAATAACATGTGAGGTATAATAAAAGACTAAAGAATTGACAGAAAAAAGACAATGAATGTATGTGAAAAATATTAATTTGTAAACTTACAATCCTGTACATTGAAAATAATCAATGGATAAAAATGCTGAGACTTAGGTAAAACAGAAAGCCTGTGAAATTTTAACCATCTTTCTAAATTTAAACAAATTACTCTTTATGCCAGGAATACTTTTGGTTCAAATAACCAGAAGGGAATATAAGTTAAGAGCCAAGGTATAATCAGATTCTAATAAACTTTCTATATACTAATTAATATCTGGACAAATTTAGTTTTGAGTTTAAAATAAATCTAATTTTCAGGTCAATATTTCATTTAAATATAGATATGAGTAGTTCATGTTATATGAATTCACATATAAAATTTGTTCATTTTTCCTGGGAAAATTATCACACTTAATCCTATGGCAGAGTAAGCATTCAAATGACCACACTGGCTGAGAAGTATTGCCCAATGGCATGCCATTATTAGAAGGCAGTGTCCTTTTTACTTAGTCAACAATGTTTCCTCTCTCCAGGCAAAAGAATAGGATTTAAAAAATACCTCTGTGTTTCCTAAAATTTGGGTAGAATTTGTAATGTCAACATTCAATTATAAGGGAGAAGCACTTCTGGCATAGCAGAGTGAGGACATCCAAAGACACACTTGTCTAAAACAGCAATAAGAGTACTGGCAAAAACTGTAAAACCTTTTTTAGAACTCTGGAAATTACCAGAGGCCTTCAATGATCCAAGGCCTGTTGAAGGAGTGTTCCAGGAAAATGGCTGAATTTTTGTAAGAGCAGTGAGCTCTATGGCATTTTAACTTGCCCTGTTCCCATACTCTTTCCCCCAAGGCCATTGTTATTGGAAGCCACAGTTCTGCTATATCATACTGAAGTCAGATAGAAACCCTCATTATGCCAGATTAAAACCTCAAAACAATATTCCCAAAGCATGCTACTTAAAAGCTTCACAGCCCAAAAGCTAGTCTATCTTCCGGAGATGGATACCTAGTCTTGCTAAAGAGGCTCCTGCCTACTGTTCAAAACTGCAATAGGTGACCGACCATTCACTAACTCTTTTCTCTATGAGTCCCTCTCCAGAAATGCTATTTCAAAGAAACCGGTGAGATTTCATCTAGTCATTCACACTGACCACACCAGTGTGGCTCTGGCACATAAGCTGGACAACTTTGGTCAAGTTACTTAAACTCTGGTATATCAGTTTCCCCATTTGTAAAACTGAGAATAATGTTACTCTGTAAGATCATTATAAAGATTAAATGAGTTAGTAATTGTAAAGCACATAAAGCCATGAGTGGCTACTGGTATCAATATTTTTGTGATTTCCTCTTAATAAAAAGTCCATGAAAGGAAACACTTTGTTGTGTTTGCTACATTACCACTAATGCCTAAATCAGTGTCTGGCACACAGTAGGCATTCAATAAACATGTTTTGAACAAATGAATGAGTACAAAAAAAGACATTCATCTATGTGAATACTAGGTTTCTAAAGGTTTGTATCTGGAGCCGTCTTAACAGAGAACAATTTATTTGCAATCAGTAGACCTATTTTAACATGGACTATGGAGACAGAAAGGCCTAAGTTTAAATTTTTTTTCTGACTTTTACTAGGTCTTTAACCTTGAGTTCTTCACCATTTTCTCTTGGTCTGTTTCCTCATCTGTATGAAAAGGGGATATATCTAGCTTACAGAGGATCTGTTATAAGAGTTAAAGATAAAATAGTAAACTAGGTAGTAAAGTGCCTGACACATAGTCTATTTAGTAAATTATAGGTATTAACAACAAATACTATGATAAAATGATTCAGTCACATTACAGTTCCATACCAATTATGTTTCAGAGGAAGTTAAATATCATGTAGTTTAAAATACAGTGTTAATAATAAATATTATAAACAATTCTATACCCACAAGTTTGACACCTTAGATGAAATGAATCCATTTCTTGAAAGACATAACCTATCAAAACTTACACAAGGAGAAACGGATAATCTGAATAGGACTATATCTATAGAGAAATTAAAACAAAAATAATAATCTTGAAAAAAATCACCACGCTCAGATCGTTTCAATAGAGAAGTCTACCCAACCTCTGAAATGATAGCAATTCTCTACTATGTATTCCAGGAAATGGAAGTAGAGGGAACGTTTCCTAACTCTTATGAGGCCAGTAATATTATAATATATAACCAAATACACTACAAGAATGAAAACTTACAGATCAATTTCTCTTATAAACACACATACAAAAATACTCAAATAATATTTAAATATTAAATCAAAAAAGAAAATAATTATTCACCATGACTAAATGAGGTTTAGGTATGCAAGGCTGGTTAAACACCCCAAAATCAATTAATATCATTTATCACATTAATAGGCTAAAGAAGAAAAATTGTATAATCACATTAATAGATGTAATAGAAAAGGCATTTGATAAAATTCAACATCATTAATAATAAAAATTCTCAGCAAACTAAGAATATTGGGAAACTTCTTCAACTTGATAAAGAACATCATAAAATAGTGACAGCTAAAATTACATTTAATGGTGATACTTTCCACCTAAGATTGAGATCAAAGCAAGAACATTCCCTCTCATTGCTTCTATTCAACATTGTACTGGAAGCCCTACCTAATGCAGTAAGAGAAGAAAAGGAAATAAAAGGTATACATATTAGGAAGGAAGAAATAAGCTGCCTTTGTTTAGAGGAAATCACAACAAAAAATTATGAAATAATAAGCAATTACAGCAATGGTACAGGATACAAAGTTAATAAAAAAAATCAATTGCTTGCCTATATATAAGCAACAAACAATTAGAGTTTGAATTTAACATAAAATAATCATCACCAAAAAAGAAACTACTTAGGTATAAAGCTAAAAAAATGTGATCTATATTTTGTTGGATTTATTTATATGAGGAAAGCTATAAAATCCTAGAGAGATCCAAGAAGATCTACATAGAGAGATAGTCCATGTTCACTGTCAATAACATCAAGATGTTAGTTCTCCCTCTCCTCCCTGACTTACAGATTTATGGCAATCTTAATAAGAATCCCAGCAAGTTATTTTTGGATATTGACAAGCTGATTATAAAGTTTACATGGAAATGCAAAAGTTTCACAATAGCCAACACAATACTGAAGAAAAAGAAGAAAGTTGGAGGACCAACACTACACAATTTCAAGAATTACTATATAGCTTTAGAAATAAAGATGGTGTGATATTGGCAAAATAACATATAAATAGATTAAAACAGAATAGAGAACAAAGAAACAAATTCACATGAATAAACTGGTTTGACAAAGAAGTAAAGGTAATTCAATGGAGTTAAAAAGTAACCATTTGTTACTTTTTAACAAATGGTACTGGAAAACTGGACATCTGCATGCGAAAGAAATCTGGACACAGATCTTACACCTTTTACAAAAATTAACTGAAAATGCATTACAGATCTAAACATAAAATGCAAAACTGGAAAACTTCTAGAAGATAACAAAGAAGAAAAGCTAAACATTCTGGAAAAGGCAAAACTATAAAGATAGTAAAAAGATCAGTGGTTGCCAGAGGTTTGGAGAAGGGGTAGAAGGATGAATAGATAGAGCACAGAGGATTTACAGGGCAGTGAAACTGTTTTCTATGAGACTCTGATGGTGGGTACATGGTATTCTGCACTTGTCAAAGCATAAATAACTGTACAACACAACAAGTGAACCCTAATGTAAACTATGGTCACAATAAAATAGTATCAACTGCATTAACTTGACATGAATATCAGCGAGTGCTGCTGCAGGTCCTTAAAGTCTAAGAATGACTTTGGTTTACTTTGGTTTATATAGTTTACTTTGGTTCATCTCTAAGTCCAGGTCAGTTTTTGAGTTTGTTATTTCCTAACAAGAACAGTGTTATACTGCAGTAAGATCCTAGCCGTTGGCTCAGGCTGTAATATAATACTTTTTATGTTTTTAACATAAAAACAAAAAGAGCTCACATTCTTATATTCCTTTTACATTTCAAAGTGCTTTTACATACATTCTAATTTTTTGTCTTTTTTTCAAATAAGGTATTTTTTAAAAAGCAGTTTTAGGTTCACGGCAAAATTAAGCAAAATGTACAGTTTCCTTATGTCATTTACCCACTTTATTATCACTCAACTATCCCCTTACTTCCCCATTCTCAACATCTTGCACCAGAGTGGTAAATTGTCAATTGAGAAACCTATTTTAACAAACCATTATCAATCAAAGTCCACAGTTTATATTAGCATTCACTCTTCGTGTTGCAGACTATATGTTTCGTTCTTAAGATTTCATTTTTTTTTTCTTCTTTTTAAGGAGCAGTTTTAGGTTCACAGCAAAATTAAGAGGAAGGTATAGAGATTTTCCATATCTCCTGCTACCACACATGCTAGCCTCCTCCAGTATCAACATCCTCCACCATAGCAGTACATTTGTTTTTTTTTGTTTGTTTGTTTATTTTATTGCATTTTAGGTTTTGGGGTACATGTGAAGGACATGAAAGATTGTTGCATAGGTACACACGTGGCAGCGTGCTTTGCTGCCTTCCTCCCCATCACCCATATTTGGCATTTCTCCCCATGCTATCACTCCCCAACTCCCTACCCCCCACTGTCCCACCCCTATTTCCCCCCAACAGGCCCCAGTGTGTAGTGCTCCCTTCCCTGTGTCCATATGTTCTCATTGTTCAACACCCGCCTATGAGTGAGAACATGTGGTGTTTGATCTTCTGCTCTTCTGTCAGTTTGCTGAGAATGATGGTTTCCAGGTTCATCCATGTCCCTACAAAGGACACAAACTCATCGTTTTTGATGACTGCATAATATTCCATGGTGTATATGTGCCACATTTTCCCTGTCCAGTCTATCATCAGTTGGCATTTGGGTTGGTTCCAGGTCTTTGCTATTGTAAACAGTGCTGCAATGAACATTCATGTGCACGTGTCGTTATAGTAGAACGATTTATAATCCTTTGGATATATACTCAGTAATGGGATTGCTGGGTCAAATGGAATTTCTATTTCTAGGTCCTTGAGGAATCGCCACACTATCTTCCACAATGGTTGAACTAATTATACTCCCACCAACAGTGTAAAAGTGTTCCTACTTCTCCACATCCTCTCCAGCATCTGTTGTCTCTAGATTTTTTAATGATCGCCATTCTAACTGGTGTGAGATGGTATCTCAGTGTAGTTTTGATTTGTATTTCTCTGATGACCAGTGATGATGAGCATTTTTTCATATGTTTGTTGTCCTCATGTATGTTTTCTTTTGTAAAGTATCTGTTCATATCCTATGCCCACTTTTGAATGGGCTTGTTTTTTCCTTGTAAATCTGTTTTAGTTCTTTGTAAATTCTGGATATCAGCCCTTTGTCAAGCGGTACATTTGTTAAAAATGAACCTATACTGACATATAATCATCCAAAGCTATAATTTACATAGGATTCCCTCATTTATTAAAAATAAAACTATATATTACTCTAATGCAAATTAAAGAAGGTATTTTTCCTTTATTATAAAAGGTTACAATGAAAGAAAACACAACAAAACAAAATTTTTCCTTAAGGAAAATAAAGAAACTTTAAATTTGCCATGAGAAAAAATTTACAGTACATATTTTAAAAAAATATTAGATAAAAATTAGATGAAAATGAAAAGAAAATGAAAAAACAAACATGACAAATTTCATTTATAGCTTATCAAGTTATCTTGCTTCCATGGTCTCTTTCTTGATTTAGATACAATAGGTGATTTTCACCCTATTTTTATGAAACAACAGTGACATCCAGAGGCCAAGAAAACAGCAACAGTACATAACCAATTAGCCTCTTTATCATTACTTAACTAGATAATCAGCTCAGCCATGACAAAATTGAATGCAAACCAACAATATAGTTAAATGTAAACACTTGAATCTAATGTACAATTTCAAAGGTAATTAAGATAAATTTATGTGTGTGTGTATATATATTTGAATCTAGTTAACATATATATTCAATTTTGTAAAATTTAAATATTATTTTTACTTTATACATACTAGGTAGCCTATAAAGTATATTAAACTATAATTAATTAGGAAAATTATGCAAAAGCAGTATTCTAACAAAACAGTGACTTAAGTATCTTACCTTCTATCAAAAGTAGACATTCATTTGAAAGTGGGAGAATACCATTATTTTTCACAAAGTGAACTGCTACTTTTCGTCCTTTTTGATCTTTAGTGGTCCAGATTTTCGAATCATATAATGATGTATTTTGTAGCTTGACATCTGGAGTTTTAGTTGCACCATCTTGCAAAATTATATCCAACTCGCCCTCATGTGGAACTTCTTGCCTAAAATCATTGACAATGAAATGACAGAAATCAATTTTGGTATGAGCTTGAAAACTTCAATTTAACATGTTACCTAATTAAAAAGTATCATTCTTACATGCAGATGAATCAGTTACTTTTTCTTAAATTATGTAAATTATGGAGCTAATTCACTTTGCAGAATAACTTTTACTCAATAGATAAATATTTGATATTTTGTGTGTAAGCACATCCAAATCATAATTACATTAACTGCTAGCAATTTTCATGCCTGGTTTTGTGATACAAAATTACTTATAATTATTCCTAGCACTGTTTTTTTTCTCCTCTGTAAGGAATGCTAAATTTCCCAGTAGGAGAAAAAAAATGCAGTGGCCCTCTGTCTTCACTCCAGTTAAATATCCACTGACCACACTTAGGGAAAAGAGTAATTCTAAACTAACACTATTTTCAATTCTGTTTATAATTAATAATTTTAAGAAGTCACATGGTTAAGTATTATGTAGTAGAAATGACAGAATTTGGAAACAAAAGGTTTATGGCTTTATTCTGGTTCTGTTGCCAACTGTGTAACTTTAGATAGTTTCTGTTAATTTCTGAGATAATGTCCTTATTTGTTTAAAAAATGATCACACAGAATGGTTTTATTTTACAAAGCTATATTTTATGATACTCAATGAGCCAAAATTTGACAATACTTGAAGAATTATCTAAAATCCTTATATATATATTTTAATCCCAAAGCGCAAATGGGTAAATATGGTTCCTTCACTTTTTATTTAAGATTTTATAATTAAAAAATCTCCTCAAACAGTATTATACCCAAATTTTGGAGGGGAAAATATATGTATATTAATGAACACAATCACAATTTATAAGCATACAAATATATGGCTATGTACATATATATGTACATATATACTTATTGTAGCACATTTTAGTGAAAACTCAATTTATGGCATTCAAATAATATATCAATTATCTACATTTTCCAAAACAGCATTTTCGATATTCAGAGGAAAGGTAGGTAAATTGCAACAAAAAGATGAGCTTTTCAAAATGATTTTCAGAATATGTCTTGAGTTGATTTTCTAGCAAAAGGATTATAAAACCATTATATACATTTATTATATATTTATATCACTTAATTAGAAATTTCATATAATTACAAACCTTTTCAAAAATTTCTGTTAATAAACGTTTATATTTAGGAAGATAACTTTTGCAACAAATGAGCCTGCCCAAATACATTCATTTATTATTTCTCATTTGCTTTTACCAGAATGACTAAGCTGAATTTAGATCTAAAAATAGCACCCACTTTTATTACTATCAAAGAATTTATTCTCTAAGAATTTAGTATTTTACCTAAAAACATTACCATTCTTTGAAAATATAATATATATATTCACAATTTACTTATTCCTAAGACACAAAATTATACATATGTGCACACATATACACAAATAATATGAACACTTCTGTTTTATTATGGAAAATACTCACAGTAAATGACATTTAGGGCAATGAAGTTTAACAGACTGAAATAGTCTTCTGGGCTTATATGACCTCAATTTTGCTCGGATGCGATACTGTTGAGGAGCTTTCTGTTTCAAAATGGCACATAGTGGTGTCCTCTCCAAATACTGATGATCTGTAAGTACTGTAAAGAATTTTTATATTAAATCATAATAAGAATATTTATAACATGCATCATCCTGAACCAAATATGTACTATAAAATCTAATTAAGCTCTATTGTCAACTCCATGAAAGCAAGGGTTATGTCTTTATTCCCGGATGTACACTCAAGGTCCACTATCACAGTGCCAGGCACATAGTAAGTGCTCAACAAATGTATACTAATAAATGCTGGATTATCTGGGGAAGAAATAATTGCTTAGTAAGTGTTCAAAAAAGCATTTTTATATGGGACTAATGGAAATCTGGCTAACAGAAAAAAAAAATGCAAGGTTTATTAGCTAAGAAAATAATATACTAGGCAACAGTTTAAGTTCTAACTGGTGTCTGACACAATTAGACACTTAAGTTCTAATTAGTGTCTATAAGAAAACACATTGGTCCAATATTATATGCAGGCTCTTTGATGTTTCAAATTAGTTACTTTTTATTGAACCATCATTTATAAAATCAGATTGTTAAGAACAGGAAGGGACATTAAGGGTGATCCGTCATGGGAGTGGTGTAGTAGTGAAGAAGAAGTCTGGGAAGCTGGAAGGAGGGAGTGCAGGAGAAGGAAGAGGAAAAGAAAGAGGAAGTTGCATCAAACTGGGAAAAAAAAGCTAGACAAAAGCACTGGGAGCAATTGCCTGGGAAACAGGTACAAAAGGTCTCCTCAGCTAGTTGTGGAAAGAAGGCCTGGGATTGTAGTGATCAGTTTTTACTGGGGAAAGTATAAAATTGCTGGTGACTCTTAGCTTAAGGCAACAGCTTGCTATACATTCTAGCTTAACAGTTTTGTGTGTTTTAGAAAATAGAAATGATATACAAATGTTATTAACTTCATTGGCGAAAACAATTCCTTTCAGTACCAAGCTTTAAGCCAATGAAATTCTTGTAGAATTAGTTTTCCTTCAAGGAGCAAATGGCCAAGAGTTTACAGTGGAACATTTTATTGTGGTGGCGATTGTTTTTAAAAAACCATTGGCAGACCTGATCAATTTAGTGTAAATTGCTATACAGTGATAACAACAATTGCTTCAAACTCATATTTTAACCGGAAATTTTTAAATATTCATTTTAAAATGCTTTCAAACTTAAGGAAAATTGCATTAACAATACAAAGACCTTCTGTAAAATCTTCACCAAGATCTACCAATTGTTAACATTTTTGCACATTTATCATTGTCTTTGGGTCTGTTTTTATCTCTGTCTCTCACCACAAAAACATTATTGAATCATCTAACTACCAAACATTATGCCTCCTTTCCTTTAAATTCTCCAGTATGTATTTCACAAGAAGACATTTTATTGACATAATTACAGGGCAATTTTCAACATTAGAATATTTAACTGATTTATAACTATAATCAAATTAATAAACATTACTCAAATTTCTCCAATTGTCCTCAAAATGTTCTTCTTAGCATTCATTTTATTTTCAAGTGTAAGATCCAATCCTGGACAATGTATTACACTTAATTCTCATGTCTCTTTAGACTTCTTTAATGGAAAACAGATCCTTAGCTTTTCTTTGTCTTTCATGACACTGATATATTTGAAGAGTACAGTCCATTTATTCTGTAGAATAAACACCAATTTGGGTGTGTCTGGTTCTTCCTCAGGCTCAGATTTAGCTTATGCATTTTTGGTAGGAATAATGGACAAGTGATACTGTGTGCTTCTCAGTGTATCACATTGAGAGGCATACAAAGTGAATGTTACTATTAATGTGAGCCTAACTTTACTTAGCTGGTAAAGGCAGTGTCCAATCACTTCTCTACTAAAAACTTACTGTTTCCCCCTTGTATTTAACAAAAATATACTAGAGAAAATATAAATATCTCATTTTTCTTCAAATATCCTGATAGTTTAGAATCCACAGATTCACAACTATCTCAACAATTAGTATAATGGGTACAAAATGGAGATTTTTTTTCTAAGTTCATTATCCCTTTTATATTTGTTATTCTACTTTAAGAAAGATATTTTCACTTAACTCCATATATTTTCTTTATCTTTTGTTAATTATCATCAACATGGGCTCATGCATTCCTACCTTACTAAATTAGTACTAACATTATTTATTTTGATGCTCAGATGTTCCCAGATTAGATATATTCTATCATAAGCCATTTGACAAGTTTCATTAACTGAGAACCTCCTTACTTTCTAGTACTACAAAGTTACTCCATACTAATCTTGTAATTCCCCTGTTCTAGTTCTGAAATCTGCTGTTTCATGAAGAAGCCCTGATTCCTTTGAGAGAGAGATATTATTTATAACCCAAGATCTGTGCACTAGGTGTGCTTAGTGCAACTAGAGTGCTGCTGCGTCTATGCCCTTTCATGGAGAGAGAGACAGGGTATATATGAATACACATTCACACAGATACGCAGGTACACACACCCCTACAATACAAAGGAATGTGTATGTGTGTGAATATATGTGTATCATACATACACATAGCTACATCTATTTCTGTATTTATCTATAAAATCATGAGTACATAATGGCACCTCCAATTACAATACAGCATTACAAGCTTTTATCAAGCCTTCTCACATTCATATTTGTACTTCTGCAATGTGAGAAATTAAATTTTTTACAATAGCACATTTAATATATTTGTGCTTAAAATATTTTTCTGAAAAATTTTTTAAAATCTTAGCTGATGTTACAGAAGGAGAGTATTTGATAGACACACTATCATTACAAAAATTAAATTAAAATTTTGAGGCATATTGTAAGGAGCTTCTTTATGGTACACTGCTAAATGCATAGTGTGACAGGATAACTCTTCACCTAATAGCTTAAGTCATGCAACTCTAACAGAGATACATGACTTAAAATACATCACGTATTTAATGTTTAAAACATATATCTGTTTTATGGACAATGTAGAAGAAGAAAGTTAAATATGGACATACTTTAGCTTTCAAGGATATGTGTTCTACTATTAGAAAGAAATGGATTAGTTGGGAAATACAGAAGCAGACTTTATTATGCTCATTACTGTGCCCATATCTCAAAAAGGATGCACAATCTTACTTGTAGCAGATAGCTGTTGACATCTTTCCACCTCGTATAATGATACTGATCCAGAGCCTATAAAAAGGAAAAGGCAAAAGAATTAAGTCCATTACAATTTCAATGTAGAACTGAAAACTATGCAACATTGCTGAGACGAATTGAAAAAAATATAAATAAATGGTGAGATATGCCACATTCATGATTTAGAAGACTCAATATTGTTATCAATTCTCTCCAAATTAATCTGTAGATTCAGCATAATCCTTCAAAAATAGCAGAGGCTAGGGCGGGCATAGTGGCTCATGTCTGTAATCTTACCACTTTAGAAGGCTGGAGTGGGTGGATCACTTGTGGTCAGGAGTTCGAGACCAGGCTGGCCAACATGGTGAAACATCTTCTCTACTATAAATGCAAAAATTAGCCAGGTGTGGTGCACAAGCCTCTAATCTCAGCCACTCAGGAAGCTGAGGCACGAGAATCGCCTGAACCCAGGAGGCAGAGGCTGCAATGAGCTGAGATTGTGCCACTGGACTCCAGCCTGGGCAAAAGAGCAAGACTCTACCTCAAAACAACAACAAACAAACAAACAAATAGCAGAGGCTTTATTGTGGAAATTGAAAAACAGATTCTATCACTTATGTGGAAGTGCAGAAAATCTAGAATATTAAATAACATTTTATAAAAGAAGAACAAAATTGGAGGACAACGTACATGACTCCGAGACTTACTATAAAGTTACAGTAATTTAAGACAACATGGCACTAGCATGAGGATTGACAAATAAATCAACTGAATTAAATTAAACAGAGAGCCTGGGAATAAGCCCACATTTTCACTGTCTTGATTTTTGACTAAAGCAACACAGCAATTCAAGGAGAATGCAAATGGTGCTGCAAAAACTCGAAATTTAGTATGGGGAAAAATGCATACTTCACACTATACTAGTAAGTATTGAATGGAAAGCCTAGACATAAGCCCACATTTATACTCCCTTGATTTTTGATAAAGATACTAAAGCCATCTAACAGAAAAAGGAAACAAATGATGCCACAACTAGAAATTCCTAAAGAAAAAATGTCTACCTCATATCCTGTGGCTAGGTATTAAAAAAGAAACAAACTAGTGATACATGCAACAATGTGAATAAATCTCAAAAACTTTAGTATGTACATAAAGAGTACATATGATTGAATTTTTTCAAAATTCTAGAACAGCAAATCTACATGTTTATGTATTAGCCAAAACTCATGGAGTGCTACATGAAATGGTTAAGTTGTCCATTTCACTGCAAGTAATTTTACCTCAAAAATAAAAAAAGAACTCTAAATAACTACAAAATTCTGGCTAATTATGTTCATATTAAGGTGTATGGAAAGTGTACTTATGTCTGCAACTTACCTTGAAATGTGTAAAAAATATAAATTAATGAATGAAAAGAGGCATATAGGCCAGGTGCGGTGGCTCACATCTATAATCTCAGGACTTTGGAAGGCCAAGTTGGAAGGATCACCTGAGGTCAGGAGTTCGAGACCAGCCTGGCCAACATGGTGAAATCCCATCTCTGCTAAAAATACAAAAATTAGCTGGGTATGGTGGCAGGCACCTGCAATCCTAACTATTGGGAAGCTGAGGCAGGAGAATCACTTGAACTTAGGAGGTGGAGGTTGCAGGGAGCCAAGATGGTGTCATTGCACTCTGGCCTAGGGGACAGAGTGAGACTCCATCTCCAAAAAAAAAAAAAAAAAAAAAAGGCATATAGAAATAAATACACAAGTGACAAAGCAAACAGAGTAAAGTATTTATTGGAGAATCTAGGTGGTAGGTATTTGATTATTCAACGTACAATTGTTTTAACTGTACCATGTATGAAAATTTTTATTATGTTGAAAAAATACAGTGTAGAAGAAATAAAAGTGGAGATGAAAAAAATATTAAACTATGCAATTTAATAGAAGGACCCAATGAACATCACAAAATAGGATTTTACTCTAACAAGAAAGCAAAAGTAGTAGTCATAGCAATAAGATTACAAAATGTTTTCTAAAAAGAATTTAAGACTTTAAAAATCTATATTTTATAAATACTTTAGCTTAGATTCTACTATATATGAAAATATATTACATTTTTATAATTTATCTTATAGGGCATCATACACAAACATATGCATGACTAGTCAGTCCCTTATCCTCAATATTGCTAATAAATAGTATTAAAAATCCAAGTCAAGAGGACTTGAATGTACAATTTCAATACATCTAATGTAGTAACTAATATTGGCCATTACAACATGAGATGGAAACAATGGCAGAAACCATAAAAGTAGTCAAATAAGAAACTGTGTAAAACACACATGGCTGCCCACAAACTGACAAAAATATATTTCAACAGAAAAGCAGATAAAGGGTAAAGAGCAGACAATCTGAGGAAGAAGGAATTAACAACATTCGTGAAAATACAGTAAGATTTTCAAGTTTCCAAGTAGTCAGGAAAATTAAGTTAGAAAACGCCTTTTACCTGCGGAATTGTTAAAAATTATAGTGTTAACTTCCCATACCATGAAGATGTGAAGAAAGTACATTCTTCTGTGCTGCTATTTGGATATAAATTCTTATGACCTTTGGTAAATAATCTGGCAGCATCTATTAAAAGATGTGCGTACCCTTAGATACATCAACCTCACTTTTAGGAGTTTATTCTGGAGAATTAAAAACATGGAAGTACATATAGTCAAGGATGTTTATTAAAGTATTATTTGTAAGAGCAAAAAATTGGTCACGATCTCAAGGTCTAGTAAATGAAAAATGTAAAAAAGTGTACTATTATTACGATGGAACTATAATGAATTTGAGTCATATGAATTAGCCCAGAAAAAAAGGTCTATGACATACTGTTGAAGAAAGCAATTATTTATTATAGTGTGATTTCATTTTGGTAAAAATTTAAGAAAAAGGCCAGAGTCATATTGTTTATATATATGTTTGTATAAAGATGAAGCGACTGAAGAAATCACACTAAAGTGTTAATCTTACCTCAGGGAGAGGGAATAAGGGCACAGTGAAAGCTATTCGACTAGATATTATAACATATATTACTGTGCACTTTAAAAATAATGAAAGAGTCATTTTAAAAGGAGAAAGAGATTGTAAAAAGTATAATTACAAATTATACTGTCTCCAAATGATCATCAATTGAACTAAATCAGTTTCCTAATGGTAGTTCAAGTAATCATACACCAGGCTAAAATGTTATCACCAGGGTGCTAGCAGTTTAAAATATGGAGAGTTTTAAAACAGAATTAGGAAAATAAATGTAAAATATATACAAAAAATCAAATAGCCTGCATTTGGATCTGTCTTGCATTGTCATCGGTTAACAGCTAAGTAACTGTGGACAAATTATATGATATCCATCCATCAAAGCCTCAGTTTCCCACTGTAAAAGAGAGAGAGAATAATTCATCTCATAGGAGTGCTGTTAGAATTAAAATAATAATGCATGCAGGCACTTAAGTGTCTACCAAGAAATGCATGTTAATTTTCATGCTTAACATTATTGGGATGTTAAGAGAATAAATCATTTTAAGAATCTCATAAAATGATTTTTTGGATCATAGAAGGGTAGAAATTCGGTTGTTAAAAAAAACAAAACAAAAAACAGAGAAAAGTGACCTAGGTTCTAGGTCCCAAAATGCAGAAGTAGAAAGTAAGACAGGCCAGGCGTGGTGGCTCATGCCTGTAATCCCAGAATTTTGTGAGGCCAAGGCAGAAGGATTGCTTGAGACTAGGAGACTAGGAGGTAGAAAACAGCCCGAGCAACTTATAGTGGGATCCTGTTTCTACCAAAATAAATAAATAAATAAAAGATAAAAAAAATAGCCAGGCGTGTTGGCATGTGCAGGACTATAAGTCCCTGCTACTCAGGAGGCTGAGGTGAGAGGATATCGCTTGAGCACAGGTGTTTGAAGCTGCAATGAGCTATGATCATGCCATTGCATTCTAGCCTGGTTACTAGAGCAAGAGCCTGTCTCTTAAACAAACAAAAACCCAGAAATTAAGACTAAGTGGTAAAGAAAAAAATAATACACATTGAGGCTTTCAAGTGCAGATTTGATGAGCCACCTATTCAGGTAGACAATATTATAAGGATACATTCCACTGTTTGTTAATATTTTGTAATTAGATGACTGATTAATTCAATAAAGACTAGGAACTATGTATACATCTAACATATGTATGAGCAAAAAGTACTTGGGCTATGTGAAATAAGTGGCAAAAACAATCTTTGTTCCCTTTAAAAACTTATAAGCAAAATAGTTGTCTATGAAATCAATACAGATTTTCTTGTGCATATGCACACACGGTATGTATATATCCTAATCAAATAATCACTACCATCCAGTTTGAAAATGTAATTATATAATTTAGGAAGAAACCATGTTTACTTTTTGGCACAGGACACAGACAAAGATTTTAGTATGTTCCTCTACTATGTGAAATTTTTATTAAGGGAGACAACGAGAAGGCATTAAAAATAATTATGTTGATAAAACTATTTTATTTAGCAGGAACTAAACTGTCAATGTTAAAGGTTGTCCTTACTTGGAAAGCTGTCGTCAGGTTCTGATTGACAGATGAAATCTGAATGCTGACTGGCTGTCAAATTTGCAGATTCTAAATCCCTATAATTGAAAGAATAGAATTTCAAATTGCATAAAACAAAGTCAATATAGTAAATTTGGCTCTACCCATAAAATCCAGAAATTCACTGAAATTGTATATAAAATTTTGTGTGTATATGCATTCTTCAGTTAAGGGACTACTGCTTTTATCAGATTATCTGAGGGTTCTGAGGCCCCTCAAAATTAAAAACTTGAGTGTAGAAAGATACAAATGGAACAGCAGAATGATGAAATACTGCAAACAAAAATAAACTGGGAATTTAACAAATGGCATTCTGAGTCACAACAATCTCACTCTAGATTCAAGAAGCTAAATACTATGTTGCTATTTATAGCAATATTAAAATCAGTAAAATTGATATAAAAGTAATAAAACAGAAGCTAGAGTCACACTGATTTCAATGAATTGAAATTTAGACAAAAGTTATTTAAATTTACTGAACAGTATGTTTTCTCTTTGAAGATATGCAGGTTTTTAAAATTTCTAGTATACTGACCAAAATGCTTCTGCACACAATACTTGCTAGGAACACTGCGGGAAAAAGAGAACTAAATATATAGCAGGTTTAAGATACTATTTACTTTTTGGCACATGTAAGTTTTAAAAATGTTTTCAAAAAGTTTAAAATAAAGTGGCACACCAAAACATGTGTTATCTATTTAATTGGTGGCAATTCAGAAATATATATACATTATGAGAGAATTAAATATTTTTGGAATCTTAGATATGTATCAAATTTTCCTAACTTTGGCTAAGGTCTAGTTTTCACTGTATATTGCTGTACTTGGACAGTGTGGCAAATGATACAAGAGAAGCATGACTGTAAAAGCCAGAATTTAACTGTTAGAAAACTTCAACTATAACCCTGGCTCTGCAACAACTTAGCTATATGAACCTATAATCAGTTGATTTGTTTCATTTGCCTCATCTACTTAAAAACATGGAGAATGGCACAAAAGGCTATAAGGATCAAACAGGAACCTATCAGAACCCCCAGGAACAATATGATCTTAGAAATCAGCTTAATGAATACCTTATTCACATTTTCTAAATATTTACATTAAAACCTTACTTTTTCAGTTGCTCCACATCAGAGTTACTTTCTGGCAAGACCCTGATTCCCCGACCATAACTGGTACCTCCGTGAAGATGAAACTCTAAACTTAACATTGTCTGATTCTCTGAATTCATTGATTGAAGTTTGGTATGAAGGCTATAGATTCTAAGAAAGCTTCCAACCTAAAAATAGATGATTTGTTGTTTAGAAAGCAGGGGAAAATTAAAATATTTCTGATATTTAAAACTTTAATAACTAATATGGGGCAACGACCAACAACAACCAGGGCACTGACCAATCAGAAAATATACTAAAGTATCTGCAAAGTATGCTATACCACTGTGGCTGAATGTCAGCTGCATGGACACTAGATCAAAACTAAGCATATGGACATGTGCATGCATACGCATGTGCGCACACACGTACATATACACACACATTCAATTCTAATAGATCTTTCCATTTTGAAAAAAAAATTCTGTCTTTGCATCAATAAAATACAATGGTTAAGAAATCCATTACCTAAATGGAATTCAAGCCCTCTATTTGACTAAGGTTTCTGAAAATGTCTTGCTTTAACTAGTTTAAGGATTAATTAAATATGATCCCTAAGATACTGTCATTACAAGAATACTAAGAAGAAATTTTAGTGTGGTACCATCTAAAAATAATAAACATCTTCCATCTTACAACTTATCTGGAAAGAAAACTTTTGCATTTGTGCCTGCACCACCATAGTGTGAAACACTCTGTGACTTCAAACATGATTTAACTATAGTTTTGAATTAAATGTTCCATAATTAATCTCAGATGTTTTGCTAAACTTAGCCTACAAATGTCTTTAATTATAGACCACTGAGATTTTTCTTATAATGGAGATTTCATATGAAAGAGATGCAGAATGCTATTCAGAGATATTGACATCTATCTAAAAGCAGCAGCTAGATCACCTAAAACACATTTATATTTATGAAGAAGGATTTAGAAACAAAAGGAGTTACCAACAAGGAAATTTAATTCATTTGTATAAAAACAGCACTCCTGACTACTGGGTGACTGACTATAGGGATACCACTCTTTCTACCTAAAAGTTCAGGATTAAGTAACAGACATCTTACATAACAGAAAAGCTATATAGGTTAAGAATTCTTTATCTGAAATACTTGAAACTAGAAGTGCTTCAGATTTCAGATGTTTTCGGATTTTGGAATATCTACATATACATAATGAGATATCTTAGGGATGAGACCCAAGTTCAAAAATGAAATTCATTTATGTTTCATATTACACATTACACACATAACCTGAAGGTAATTTTCTACAATATTTACAATATTTTTGTGCATGAAACAAAGTTTCTGTACACTGAATAATCAGAAAGCAAAAAGATCACTATCTCATATTGGCATTCAAAAGGTTTGCATTTTGGAGACTTCTGGACTTTCAGATTCCGGAGGCTCAATCCTATCAGGGGAAACACACTAAAAAAAGATGAATATTAAATGAACTTTCCAATTCTGCTTATTGTAGGATATCAGTAAAGGAGGTAAGGAGAAAACCCACAGTCTCGGGTGCTACTTGTTCATTTCCAAAGATCTTTTTTCTCATTGAATCATGGGTTTTATGAGGAGGAGATAAGATAAAGCCTTTTCTTCTTTGACCTTTTTCACTTACATCTATGTCATAGCCAGGAGTTGTATAAAGAAAGTTAAAGCAGAAAAGCACAAAAAGAAAAAGAAAAAATTCATTTTCCTCATAGTCTTCAAAGTGAGACAGTGGAAAAAATATAAAAATTTCTAGTTTTATCTCATTCTTTTTGACTGGATTATTTCGTGATTCTTTTAAAATATGTGTGCATATATATGCATATATATTAGTATAGCACATGTATATATGATCTACAAAAGATTGGAAAGAAGGCCTAACACATGGACAAAGATATATCTTCATATACTAAAAGCTTTGATATTATAAAAATGGTAATTTCCTCCAAATTAAACTTTACATTCTATGCAATTCAATCAAAATCCCCAGAAGCTTTAATGGAATCTGAAAACCAAATCCAAAAACAAAAGAGAATAGTCAAATCAATTCTGAAGAATATGAGATGGGGGCTTTACCCTATCAAAAAGTACATAAAGAAAAAGGATAATAAACATAGGTGTACAAATAAACCCACATGTGGAGACACAGAGAGAGGGATGTGGGGAGCAAAAAAAAAAAAAAAAAAATGAGAACAGGCAGGGCACAAAGAAGGTTTGATGTGTAGGGTTTTATTTCCTAAAATGTAAAAGTGTTTGAAATAAATGTGGCAGAACATTTAAAAATAAGGTGAACATATGGGTGTTTATTATACTATCTTCTCTACTACTGTATTTTTAAATATAACAAAATTTCTAGGCCAAGATATAAGTCATTCACATAAAGATAAGTTGTTATTATAAAAAATTCCTTATGGAGGCAGCATTGTATTTTTTTAAAAGCTTGACTAAAAATACTACGAAATATGCCAGGTGTTCTACTATAAAACATAAGTATTGGTTAATCTTATCAGTATTAAGATTCTGAAAACACAAATGAAGAATCATAACTAAAAAATTATAAAAACAATTTAAAAAACTATTATAGAAGTCTATTTCTATACCGAAACACTAATAAAAAAAAAAGCAAAGTAAATATGGCTGGTAAGAAATGACTATCCCTTTAGAAATAATCAAATTATTCCTCATAAACTGTCAAGAATTTCTCTTTAGGTTTGCTATTTTTAATTCCCTGAATATGTCTCAAAATAGCCAATCAAATCACAGTTTTTGGTCAAGTAAAGGTCAAAACTTAATTATGACCACGCATATTTTGTAATTAACAATTGTTTCTGGTTAAGAGTTGGGATTTAGTAAGGAAAACTTTAGTTTCTAGACAAAAGGTTTGAAATGTCAGTTTATGTGACTGAGTCTGTGTAAAATGTTCAAGGGAATAATGGAACATACTTAAAAAACAAGATACAGAAAATAGTTAAGGGCAATTCAGGCTCTAAAATGTATTGTTTGTAGATGCTGATTATATTCTATAATTACATTATACTATCCTCTTTATTAAAATAAAAACACATTTTCTTCCTGCTCCTACACAGCAAAAGTCTTTTGAATTGGTTCCAGATATTTTGATACAAAAATGCAATTTTAAACAGTTGTCTTGAAAGTACCAAGAAGAATTCATTTATATCAATGTCATGTGAGTGAAGAGTTTCTAAATTAACAAGAAATGTTACACAGGTTGTCAGAAAACAAATAAATATAATGTCAATGTATATTAAATAAAAATCTAAAGTCATATTCCAGAGAAAAATCCTTTTCATTTTTATATTGCATTGCAGACAAATAATGTAATGCTATATCTTTACAGAAAACACAGTACCATACATTTTCTTAATTATGTGTGCTCATATCACCCTCTAGTGAGCAAAATAAAGCAGACCATAAAAAAGGAGAAAAGAATTTGAAAAAAAAAAAACAAAAAAAAAACCATGGCACTCACTGATTCATTCATTCAGCAGCAGCTACGATTTGCTTCATTCTTACTATAGGGAAAGCACTGTGATAGGTGCTGTTTAGGACTAAGACAAGAAAAGCAGGAAAAGCGGGGAAACAGAAAGACCTATGGAAGCAGTATAGGGAAAGATAAGAGAATTAAATGGTGAAGGTAGGTATGCAGAGTGTGGAACTAAGGTGAATCTAAAATGTAAATTCATTTTATTTATGAAAGAACTCTTTCTATGAAAAAACCTTCAGAACTGGACTTAGTATATTTACTTTTGAAACAAATGAATCAATGTGGATAGTATCTTTCAGGGAAATAATGTCAAAAAAAAATCTTCAACAGTCAGTGTTTTCTGATATGTCACTGATGTACTGATGTATGTGCACGCATACACACTTATAGAGGACAAAAAAGTGCAGTCAGTATCTTCCTGGACCTTGGATTTAATCTAATTTATTGATTTGAGTTGGGTGAACTTATTTGTTTTGTTGTTGTTTTGTTTTTTTTAAATTTTTATTCTTTTTTCTGCAACCCAGAACAGTGTTGATAGTGAAACTTATTTGTAATACAATATACAATGGATATATTTGTTCCTCCATGGCCACTGATTTATAAAGGGAAATTGGGCATTCAGTGAAAAGGGAAATTCAGATCTTTACTCTTACTGTCTTCTTTTAACTTCCTATAAGTGGGCTAGAAGATATTTGTGATGTAAATCACTTCCATTTAATGCTTTAAAGGATTAGCTCTGGAAGGAGACATGATGGGTTTAAACACTGGCTTCATCCTGATAGGAACAGAGGGTGGGGGAATTCTCAGAAGAAGAGGGCAGGTTCCCAGCAAGGACCCTGCCCTCAAGCTGAAAAGCCTCATATCACAGCCCAAAGTGAGAACTTGCATCCATGTTTTCCTGCTCGAATGTTGCCTTTTCCAAAACCACCCATGGCCCACCCCACATGCCATCCTGTGCCCATAAAAACCCAAGGCTGAGCCAGCAGAAGAGAGGCAGCTGACCATCAGAGACTACAGCTGGATGTCAGAGAAAAGCAGCTTGATTTCAGAGGGACAGCTTGATGGTGTAACTTGGGAGAAGAACCTGGCCAGAGATGGTTGGATTTCAGGGGAAGACTACCTTCCTGCTCCATCCCCTTTTCAGCTCCCCTTCCTGCTGGGAGTCACTTTTATCAGTAATAAAATCCCCCGCATTTACCATCTTCAATTTATGCTTAAGACCGCATACTCCTGGATGCTGGACAAGAGCTCGGGTGCCACAACGGTGGGTGCGAAAGCCTGTCACAACAACCCTCCACTGAGCTATTAACACTTAAGGTGTCCATGGACAGCAGAGTTAAGAGTACTGCAACACTTCCTCTGGGGCTTCAGGGGTCACAGATACTCTCTCAGATGCTGCTGCAGGGCCAGTACGGACTTTGCTTCTGTCCAGGCCCAAAAGCCCTTGCCCCAGTTCCTGCACCTGCTCACCTGTGTGCTCCCCTTCCCGCAAGGGGTAGGGCACAGGGGGTCTGAGTGAGTGCAGTTCGCCCTTGCCAGCACTGAAGCGGCAGGCTGGTTCCAGCGCCTGTGCATTCCAGTTCCTGCCTTCGAAGGGGTTTGGGAAATATCCTGCTTCAATCCAACTAGCTGTGGAATCTTGAATCATTGGTTTAACCTGTGAGTGCCTCACTTCACATTTGTAGAACAAGATGACTATCATCACCTATCTTATGAAGGTGCCTAGCAAAGGTTACTCATGCATATGAAGTGCCTAGCAAAGGTTACTCTTATTATTTACTGTATTATTTATCATACCATTGTTTACTACAAAAAGTACTTTCAAATAGAAGATACAATAGAGAAAAAATATTCCCTACAATTTTTGTTAATAGTTAAGTACTGCCATATCTAAACTGTGTACCTCACTGTATTTCAAAAGACAGTATGCAAATTCTATAAAGTACACAGTATACACACACACCCAATTTATCATATTAGAGGTGATTTAACAATGTCTTTAACTAATGAGCAAAAAGTTACAAGCTATATTCTATCAAACCAGTTTACCAAGCTTAACATTAATAATATTTTATCTATCCTGTCATTCTAAAGCAGTATTATTTCACACAATACATTTTGTTTTTTTTACTATTTTCATGGAAGAGTTATGTATAGCTTAGCTTTAAAATATTTAAGAAAAATTATTTTAAAAAATGTTCTAACCCATTAGATTTATCTTTTAAAATTTAATGTAACAGACATTTTACAACTTAAAAAGCAAAAAAAAAAAAAATAATTTCTAAGCTGTAAATATCACCTATAAATGTAACCATATATAAAAAACTTACGAGCAAAAATCACTACAATTTATAAAAACATAAAATAACATTTTTTTCTATTCAACATCACCTTCAGAAATTTTGCCACTTGAACATGGTTATCGTAGACTAAAATATCTACTGTCAGATTTTGTAGCCGATGGATGTGGCTTAAATCACCTTCAAGAACAAGGTCTTGTATTAAGACTCTCCAAGATGGAAATGGTGTCCTGGTGCCATCCCATACCTGCCATAAGACAGTACAGTAGTTTTATCATCCTTTTGAAAAAATATTGGTGCTAAAAACAGTTTTTTTCCTGTTAATAGTACTTAAAAGTAATTCAATGTATGCCTCTTAATATTGACACTATTTTAAATATGACATTATTTTCTGATTGTAAAGAACTACATATGAGCTATGGGTAATATGGAAAATGTAGAAAAATGTAAAGAAGAAAACGAGTCACACCACCGTAAGCCCAGACTAAATATTCTTGAGTCAAGTGCTTTACATAATAAAAACAAACCAAAATAGTCTCGAAATACATTCCTATTTATTAAAATGTTTGTATATAAATATAACCAGCAAAATTACAAATGCTCTAAAAATTGTAAAAATACTATATTTGACATTAATCAAATTATTTCTATGAGATTCAGTCTCATTCTTAAGATAGTTGTAAAGCATTATTCTGATGTTTCCATACAAATAAGTAAATGCTGCAAATTTGAATAACTAGCTTAATATGATGATTTTCAGGTTCGGATTATGCTTTTTGTTCTCCAAACTACATTACAGATAAGACATACAAACTACCAACCAGCTCTGGCTATAAATTATGTCTGATTATTTATTAAAAAATGAAAACATAAAACAAATACTCAAAAGATAAGGTGGCACCAACAGACATTAAAACAAATAAAATATATACACTTAGAGAAAATTCAACTTGAGAGTATTGCTAAGAAAAATAATTTATTAATATTAACAGAGAAAAATGTAGAATGATGTTAGGTCAACAAATTTAGTAAATTATGCTTTTAATGCAAACCATTGGCGTATCATGGCTACTCAGAAATTAAAATGAATGCACTGTGGTTACTAAAAAAGTACCAATATTTGATATTGTGCCCAGTTTTAGATGGAAAATGATTGTACTGTTTTGTATGTGGCCAGAGAGTATTTCGAGTAATATCTAGTTCCTCTGTTTTTTTTTTTTTTTTAAATAAAAATTATTTCTGATACATAGGAAAATCAATGTCAGGAAAAAAAAAAATCACTCATAATTCTACTTCCCAGAGATAAAAACAGTAAAATGTTGCTTTATAGGCCTCCCAATATATTTTTGCTTTGTATGTATATATATATATATATATAT